CAAGAGTCAGATGCTTAACTGACTGAGCCACCCAGGCGCCCCAGGAAGGGATCATTTTAGTCCCTGAGATCACCTGGATTTGTTTCCTCTCCAGGAAAGTTCCAGATGCAGGTCCTACCCCAGTGTGGCCACGCAGTCCATGAGGATGCCCCCGACAAGGTGAGTCTGGTGCTCTGTGACTGTTGAAGGACAGCTGTGAGAGTAACTTTGGCTCTCACAGAAAATAGTACAAACCCTTGAGTTAGCCTGTGTTGCCCTCAGCAGCTTTTGTGGGGCCTATGCAGATACAACTTGCACCATCTCCCCAAACCTCTCCCTGGCAGCTGCTTATGGTCTTACTTAGCTTTCTGTGTATGTGCTGAGGAGCCACTGGCACCTTGCCGTTTCATCCCAGGTCACTCTGGTCAAGATCTTGAGCTCTGCTTCTCTCTTTTCCCCAAAAGCCAGGTTTAAAAAGGGAAAATTGGGGTAGAAACTGCCTCCTAAACTATAGGCATAGTTAGTAGTTAATATGTACTCCTCCTATGGGAATAAGATGCTTTGTGATTTTCAGGGATAAATAAGCCTTCACATCATTCCCCTTGACTTCTCTGGAGCTATCCCTGGCAAGGACGGTGGGGAAGAGTCTCCCTGGCCCTGCCAGGACTCAGATCCTTTAGATTTCAAATCCAGCAGGTCCCATGAGTCCACTATAGAGCCTAACCTTCCCAAAAAAGCATACAGGACCTCCAGAGGTGATCCCCACTGTTAATGTCACATAGCCTGGAATATCTCTCCCTTTTCCAGGTAGCTGAAGCTGTTGCCACTTTCCTGATCCGGCACAGGTTTGCAGAGCCCATCGGTGGATTCCAGTGGTAAGGAAGTAACACAGGTTTAAAGAGCCCAGCAGTGCTGGCCAACCACAGCAAAAAGATATTTGTAATGTTGTAAATATCTCTACCTTACCCCTGCCCAGTTTGGGTCACCATGCCTTTTTTCTTCCTCCTCAACATGGAACCAAGTATGTGTGTTTTTGTTAAGCGATGGTTGATTGTTTCTGTGTGCTTTGGTCCAGTGGGTTGTTGCAGAGATGAGATTAAATTATGCCTAGTCCCTACTCCAGCTGACTTCTTAAAGAAATCCCCCCACTTCTTGAGGTGCCCCTTGTCTGAGGAGGCTAGGGTGGGAATCCGTCTTTTTCCAAGCTCTTAGGTAAGTTCTGTATGCCATCTCCTGCCCTGCTGCTGAGGAAGGCTGGGCAGGCCATGGAAACTGTATAGAGATCCAGAGCTGGGTTTTCAACCTCAGTACTGTTGACATTTGGGGGCCTGTCTTGTGCATTATAGGATGTTTGACAGCATCCCTAGCCTCTAACACACTAGAAGCCAGTAGCACTCCAACATACACACTCAAAGTTATGGCAAGGAAAAACGTCTTTAGGTTTTACCAAATGTCTCAAGGAAGACAAAATCACTAACAGTTGAGAACCACTGGTTTAAAGGGAAAAGGGTGCCTCTCACCCTAGGAAGCTCTTCATCTGATTAAGGAGACATAGTTAGACTCTGTCAAGGAGGAGGAGGAAGAGAGGCATGATTACCCAAACCACACAGACTGGGCCCCCACCTTAGGGAACTCCTGATCTGTGCTACAGAATGTCCCTGATTCTCAGCCCACAAACCCAATGAGTCATACCTGCCAGTTGGAAAGTCCTAATTTTGGTGAGGGTCCAGGGGAACTGGTTCCCTACCTTTAGGAATTTGAAGAAGAAATGTTGAAGAAAAGAAATCGCTTCTGCATTAGAAAACTCTAAATGCCAGGGCCTGGGAAGTGAGGATCACAGGGCAGGGTCGGCATTGGAAATGATGACAGGAGCCTGGTACAAGTGACTCCTTTATGCAAAACCACCCCTCAAGCAACTAACTATTAATGGATCCCAGGAATCAAAAGTAAAGACTTAGTTTTTCTTGATAATAATAGTGTCTGGGGCCCCTGGACCATTTGGAGCTTTTGTCATATCACCCCTTCACAGACCCTGTGTCTAGACCTAGATGGGGCTGTGGGGAGGTCGGACAATCTACAGGGCCCTTGTGATCATGAAGGCCTGGGCTTTCTGGAGGAGACAGTGTGAGCAGGAGAAAACTAGTAATGGTCACATTTGTTTTCCTTCTCTTTCCATTCTTCACAGTGTGTTTCCTGGCTGTTAGTAACCTGCTATCCGTCCCTCCCCCAACACTGAGCTCTGTTGTAAATACATCGCACCAGAGGCCACTGTGATGCCGCTGTCTCCTCCTCACCATCCCGCCCGACCATGTGACACCGGCTCCCTATAGACGGGCATCCCCAGATGTACAAACCCTTTTGTGTATTCCTGCCAAAAGCATTGTTTTCCAGGGCCTTTGACCAACCTCGACCAACTTAGTCCAAGGCTCCCCAGCTCCCACCCCTTCCCTGTTCAGGGGTAGCCCCTGCCTGTTCTTCTTACCTTGCCTAGGGTGAAGCCTCCATCAGAACCGCCACCCTGGGCCCCTATTCCTGGTATTAGGCAATGCACCTGGGTCCAAATGTCTCCCCAGGCTCAGGGACCTCCATTCCTTAAGATTGTTCTTGGTATGGTCCTGCCCTACCTCATGGGATGGACCATGCACAGGGTGGTCCTTATATTTCCTTTCAAATAAAATACCAGTCAGGTACCTTTTTATCCCAGTCTTACTCTTCCAGGCTTGGAAGACCCAGAGAGGCCAGGATCCCATCCTTAGGAATGGGGAGGGGTGTTGGATAGCATCACAAGAAACCAGCCTGAAAATCAGGTCCAGCCAGTCCAAGCACATGGCCTCCCATCTGGGGAGAGCCCACTGTCCCTCTCCCACATGTCTGGGCACCTGCCCTGGGCTGAGGCCAGGCTGCTCCAGGGGCCTCTTGAGCCCTCACCTGCCACAGAACAACCCAGGTTAAATACAGCCCATGCACAAAGCCATAGGCCAAAGCCTGTGGAGTTGTTTTTAAGAATCAAATTTAACCATTTTCATAATTGGTCCCTGGAGGTGTGCAGAGTGCCCGCTTGCCTCTTCTAGACCCACAGCTTATCTTCACCATTTGTGGTTTCCATGTCACTCTTCATAGAAACAGTACAGCCCAGCATCCTCAATCTTTGCCCTCTTCCGGCTGCCTCATCACAGCACTGCGGCCTCCCCCTACTGCCCAGGCACGCCATTTCCAAGGGCAGGAAGGGGCAGTCTCCTGCAGCCCATCTTTTCTGTGACTGTCTTAGGTGATGCGTAATCCCCTCCACCTTTCCACCCAACAACTTCCTATCCCTGTCCTGCTGCATGGTCCAGAGTCTGGGACCTACTTTGTTTCTTTGTTATTTATGACCTTGTTTAAAGAAAATAAATATCTCCCAATGTTTATTGATCTTGTCTTTCTCCATGGGGTTGTCCTTATTTCTGTTGATCTGGGGGCAGGGGACAGTTTGTTGGATTTAGTCACCATAGGGCTCTAGAAACCCCTTTCCTGAAGCCCATCAGCATCATATGCTCTGCCTCCTCCCCACATCCAGAATCCCAGTGGAATGGGCAGAGCCAGCCTCTACTGCAGCCAGGGAGACCCAGATTCCAGTCCCATTCTTCCAGCTATTTGCATGGTCAGCTTTGGCCCAGAACAGGACAGTTTGTGCACTGTTCACGTGAATTCAGGCACTCATGGCTTCACATCAGCCAATACCAGAACTTTGTCCACAACCCAGATCATCTCCTGAGCTCTAGATACTTAGATCTGTCTTCCTCCTTCTATCTCTCCCAGATGACCAAAAAGCCACTCATATTAACCATTCCTGAAACCAAACTCACCTTCCCCCTAAAACTTGTTCTTCCTTCCATGTTCCCTTGCTCTGTAAGTGGTAGGTACCACCATCTCTCCATTGTCCAAACCAGACACGCAGAGCTCTCTAGATGATTCCCTCTTATACCCATATCTGGCTTACCACCAAACCCATACCCATGCTCTTTTCTGTCTCCTGTTTTCCATCCCACAGCCCCTGCCATAGCTTAGGCCTCATCTGTCAGCTAGCTCACTCAGTACCCTTGCTGGTTTCTTACCATAGTCTCTCCCTTGGTCACCCTCTACACATTCTCGGGAGTCTTCTTTCTATTAGGCTTTAGAGCCAGACTGTCTAAATTAGAACCCAAGGCCCTCCCCTTACAGGCTGTGTGAGATAGCCACGTACTTTCTCTCTTTGTGCTGCAGTTTCCTCCTCTGAAAAATGATCAGCAGTACCTACCTCACAGTCTTGAAGACTATGTAACTTAATATAGGTTACCTGGCTCTCTCAGTAACTGGCACAGGGTAAGTTAAGCATTTAATAAATAGTTCCTGTCATGTCACTGCTATATTGTACTTAAGACCTTTACTCAGAGTGGTCTGGGGACCAGTAGCATCGGTTTCATCTGGAAGCTTATTAAAGATTTTGTCTCTACCCCAGACCTATTGAGTCAACTGATCTGCACTCTAACAACCACATTAATTCTAAGAAGTTCTGGTTTAGATGTTCCCTAAATATTTCAGAACAAAGCATGAGCTCCCTAGCAAAGAAGAAAAGTGCCTTGTGTGTGATGGGATTTCTCCCACCAAGCCCTTGGTAGGGTGTGTGTGAGGATGGGTGGTCCCTTTGCTGGGCTGTGTGGCCTCTGTCCACAGGAGGGCAGCACAATCACAGGCATGGTTTTCAGGAACACACATTAGCACTTCTGTTCACCAGGCAAATCATAACAGTCATCAGATTTGGGGTGTCATCTAATTCACTTTACACTCATTTCATTGAATCCTCACAGCAGCCCTATGAGGTAAGTGACATTATGTTCCTTTCACAAGTAGGCAGACAGGTCCGAATTCATACAGCTCAGAAGTGCTGGTGTCAGAATTCAAACCTAGGTTGTTTCCTCTCCACACTGCCTCCTGGACAATACAGGGGACCCTAGGCAGAGGTCATTTTGGTTTAGATACCAGACTAAGATAGTAGGAGGATGATGACCAGGAACTTGAGACTTCTTCAGGCTTGACGGATGGAGACTGAGAATGAATATGTTGAACTTTGTGTTAGGTTCTATACTAGTCACATGCATCTCCTTTATATCCTTGTGAAGTGTAGGCATTATTATCCCCACTTTAAAGGTAAAGAAACTGAAGCTCAGAGATGTGAAGTGACTTGCCCACAGCCATGGCTAGGAGGCGGCAGCATCTTTGTCTACTGAGTGTTCTATTGCACCCCAGCAGGGAAGGAACCATTCACATGTTCACATAGCATATCTTTAATGAGCACCTACTATGTGCTGGCCATAACAACATCCTTGTGAAGCCTGCAGATCACCACTATGAGCTCAGGAAAGGAATAGAGGAGACCTAGACCCTCTGAATGAAGGATTTGCTACAGAGTGAAGGAGCGTGTCTGGGCCAAACCAAAGGCCATTCTGTCACACACACGCACTAAAGAATGTCTAAGGAGAACAAAAAAAAAAAAGAATATAGGCAAACTTTGGGGAAGCCATAGATCTATTGGTAGGGGGAGAATCTTGAGATTGAGAGGACTCAAAGGCATAAGGGGAGCTGGATGTGAATGACTTCTTGGTGTTACCCTCTTCTAAACCTGTTAGGAGCATTTATTTGCTGATTAAGCAAACCTGAGCACCTGTTCTGTACCAAGCTTCCAATGGACTTTGGAGACAGATAATGAAGCCCTTCAAATGGGCTCATAGTCTAGACAGACTATTATAGAAACAGTGACCACATTGCATAAAGAGGAAGGGAACAACTAAACCTCTTTGGAAACAGGTTGAGAAAGAATTTGAATTGAGCTTTGAAGCATCGTCACAAGGTGGAGGTGAAGAAGGAAAGGAAATAAAATACAAGGCAGGTAGAAGGGACAGCATACGCAAGCCCAACATACTTGAAAGTCAGTCTGATAACTGATAGATGAGTGTGATTAGTATGGCTAGAGTACAGGCTGACAGGGGAGTCAGCAGGAGGCAGGACATAAAGGCCTTGCTTGAGTGGTGAGAATGGGGAGTCCTCAGAAGTTAAGGAACTCTAATATGTTGACTTACAGACTCCAGGGAAAGAGACAGTAAGAGGCAGTTGTAACAGGTAAAAGGCACAGGTATGCTTAACTAGGACAGTGGCTGCAGGGATAAGAGAAAAGCCTCATCTTTTTTTTTTTTTTTTTAATGTTTATTTTTGAGAGAGAGACAGAGCATGGGTGGGGGAGGGGCAGAGAGAGAGGGAGACAGAATCTGAAGCGAGCTCCAGGCTCCGAGCTGTCAGCACAGAGCCTGATGCCGCCGCCGGGCTCCAACGCACGACCAGGACCGTGAGATCATGACCTGAGCCGAAGTCGGATGCTTTACCGACTGGGCCACCCAGGCACCCCGAGAAGGCTCATTATTTTGGAGGTGGAATGAACAATACACAAACCGATTTGGACAGTGAGATGTCAAGGACCCTTAAGTTGGAGTCAGGGGTCTGTCATCAGAAATGGGGGTAGGGAGTTAAAAGGTCAGGACTTTAATAAGGGAGAAGCAAGAAGAGAGCCTAAAACTGGAGTAAAGCAAAGGCAGTCACACTCTCCCCTACAGGAACAGAGTTTTTGAGCCAACTCTTCCGCTACAGCTGGCTGTCCCACTAGCGGCCAGAATCAACACGTTCTCAATCTGGGTCCAGGGCTCAGAAAGTTATGTAAACTCAAGAGGCTCCCTTATTCCTAGAGCTGGTTTCCTCTCCCAGGAGTTTGCTAGAAAACCCCAGCCTGTAGCCAGGCGAAACCTTGGAAGCAGAGACTAGCGAGTGGCTGGCCTCTTACACGTGTGGAAAATGACTGCTGCCCTCCTGCCCCATGAGGTAATAAGCAGATGAACAGGAGGTATAATGGTCAGTACTTCAGTTTTGCTCCATCTGAAAATGTGGCAAACTTTAAAGAAGATGGAGAGAGTAGTTATCTACAGGGATGCATCTGAGCCTTACTCTCAAACCCTTAGCCAAAGACCCTCCTGAGCACTTCCTTCCTTTGAAATGATCTTTGATTTCCCCTGGAGTTACCCATTTCATATGCAAATGTGCCCCTGGCCGTCACCTAGGGTCCCTCGGTTACTCAGACCTTAGGGGGAAACAGGCCTATCAAGCGCTGAATGGGAAGGATCATGTGACCAAGGAAAAAGGT